CCCGTCTCGGCCTCCCAAAGTGCTGGGATTACAGGCTTGAGCCACCGCGCCCCGCCAAATTGCTGCTACTTTCAACAAATTTTGGAGCATACTTCTTACCTTGCCTGTAATTCAATATGTGCATTTTTGTTATTATACAATTTATCTAATTTTTGATTGATCAAAAATTATATATATGATAGAGAGAAGCCTATAATACTAACTTCTTCCAGTTATAGAAAACTTAAGCATTTATAGTTGGGACTAACTGTTGCATACCTAATTTGTGTTATTGTATTTTGGTCTTGGAATAAGTAGTCCAATGTGAGATAATCAATGAATAGATATTTACTGAAAGCTAGATATGTGAATGAAAACAAATGAAATGCAAATCAATCACTCTTTCTGTGTCTCTCCCTTTCCTCATTAAAATTATACAGATTTTTTTCTTAATATGTACTTTCTCCTACAGATAAAGCTTTTCTCTTCATTTGTTTTCATAAGAATTGAGAAAACTTTCTTTCACTGGTGACAACTTCAGGAGACAAACATTTTAGAAGCAGGACTAATCTGAGAGAGGCAGAAAATCCAGGGGATTTGCTTCAGGCCATAAAGCACTTCCTTTGTGTCATATTCTGCTTGGTGGGGAGTGCTCAAGATTTCCAATATTCAACATCTTTGTATAAAAACTTTTCATGTTGGTAATCTAAAGTGAAGGACAGAGCACTAAAGGCAATCAAGTAGTTAGCAAACCGGCCATATTTGGCTTTTTGTCTCTTCTTTATATTTTAGTCTTAGCATCCAACCTTATGGACCATTTTCATACAAAGCCCTTTTGAAAGAAAATTATTGTGTATCACTTTTTTCAAGTTTTTGGAAATAATTTTTGAAATATACTTTTATTTGTGCATTTCTCATTGTTTAAAAATCCTAACTTAAATCAAGATTGAGTCTTCAAAAATGCAGTAACCTGAATGGAACTACAGGTCATGGTGCTATGTGAGATAAGCCAAGCACAGAAAGACAATTAGCACATGTTCTCACATATATGGGAACTACAAAAGCGGATCTCATGAAGGTAGTAGATTGCTGGTTTCCAGAGGCTGTTTAGAACAGTGGGGAGGAGAGAGGATTAGTGGGTCCAAATACACAGTTGGATAGGTGAAATAAGACATACTGTTCAATAAATCAGTAGGGTGACTATAGTTTACAGCAATCTATTGTATATTTCAAAATTCCTAGAAGAGAATAATTTCAAATATTTCTAGCATAAAGAAAAGACAAATATTTAGGGTGATGGATATCCCAATTCTACTGATTTGGTCTTTAAAAATTATATAAATGTCTTAAACTATCTATGTACCACCAAAATATAGACATCTATTATGTATCAATAAAAAATTAAATTATAAGTGAACAAATAGTTTTTTTCTTTTAAATTCTAGATTGATCTTATTCAAATTAATCAATACTAAATATTACATACAACAACTTTATGGGAGCCTGTTAGTATCTCCTGGGTCTATATATAATTGCATAGACTAAAAGCCTTTATTCCTTACAATTTTCTATATTTTGATAATGTTAACACATATTATGGGGCCATGAGTATTTTCACTTGTAAAATTCTCTAACACACAACTTCTTCACTTTTACCATCGAAATATATTTTTTGTTGCCACATCTCAGTCTCATAAAATATTCTCTGTAAGTATTACTTACCTATGTGATTTTCCTCCTCAGTTTCCATGCCTCGGAAATAAGTGTTGAAGTTAGTGCCATCACTTTTAGTTCTGTGATTCATAACACTGGACAACAACAAGTTTCTTTGGATCCCAGAGCTCTTTCTTAAGTAGATGGCAGATTTCATATACAAAGCCATAGCTCAGCTTGCTGAAGACACTGGTTTCATTATTTTATGAATTATTTCTAGGAGCAGAGCTTGTAATAATATTTCAATGACAATTGAAGAAAATACTTACAGTAGTAAGATATTCATAACAGCCCTGTAATGATGGGTAATTGGTATAAAATATAGACTTTAATATTTATTTTCTTTTTACCCATGCACCTTGATGACCATCACGTCACACTGAACTTTCAAGTTTCTCAAACATCCTCTGTCCTTTCCTGCATGACTTCTGTTTGTTTCCTTACATGGGCTACGTATGCCTTCTTATCCACTAGTGTTCAGTCCGAACTTCTTCAGGGCAGGAACTTTACCTTCTCACCTTCTTTGTATACTTAGCACAAGATCTAGCATTAGTGAGTACGATAAATTTCTTTTCAGAGTTAAGTGAGATAATATATGTCTCGAGTGCTTGATGCATATAAATATCCAATGGAAACCATTACTACTATCAAGTTAGCTAAAGAGTATGTGACTTGATTATATAAATTGGAAAATATACATGCTGTAAACCTCTGAATTAGAATATTATCTATTTACAATTCATAATACTACAGTTATCATGATTTACATTTGACCCCAAATGGGAAATTTGAAATTATAATATTGTAGAGAGCACTTTGATTATATATAGCTAGAATGTAATGTGAAGAGTTTGGAGGAAAGAATTGCCAAATTAACTACATTAATCAGTTATTTGATATGTCAATGATTGCATTAAAAATAGTCTTCATTTATTTAATACAATTTCAATAAACCTTGAATTCATTCAATAAATATATTGAGGAGAAACAAATATGTGTGGCTGTGTAAATCACATGTGATTGTGGGTAGTAGATATGGACAGGCTACAAGAGAGTGGCTTAGAAATCAAATGAGATTCCTTCTGATGGGTAGGAATTCTGTCTTTGAACTACTCACAAATGCCACTTGTAAAGTAAATTACTACAGTTTTACATAAAGGTTACATTTCTCAGGAATTTATCATGTAACCAATATGAATATTATATTTAAAAATAGGGTCATTTGTTAGTGTCGACAACATCAATGGTTTCTCAATTATGTCTCCAGTACATCTTTTGATTTTAGTAACTTTTTTTGTATACTTAGAACACCGAATCACGTTAATATCTACTAATAATTTTCATGAACTACATGTCAAAGAGACAAGAGTAGCCTTACAAATGCTATAAATTTATACATTATAGTAGTTTTACTTGTGATCAGATGAAATGCCTTTTCCTCATAAAAAACTATTATTCCACTTAATCTGCTTTATTTTCTTAATACGGTAGGTGTGGAATGACTCACTTCCTCACTGTTTAAGGTTTCTATATAGTTGTGCAAATAGATAATATTTTTAGAGCATTAAATGTGAGGTAGAGAACAA